GGCCACTTGGAGAGCCAATGGGGAGCAACGACGACTGCCCCTTAAATAGCGAAGCTGCCAGCAGAACGGGAACTCTGCTGTGGGACACGCTGCCGACGACCCGAGATCGACCACAGAAGGCTGGACACACGGAATAGTGTTGATGTACTAGTAAAAATGACAGTAAAGTACTAGCAGTTATCCCATTCTGTCTTCTCTTCCTAACACGTATTGGGCGAACATAACCGGTGTTGACACAGGAACACACTAGGTTACAACAGTTGGAGTCTTCGCGCACACCGCCTGCGCCCTCCCCATCGCCGGTCTTTTTAAAACTATTGTCCTGGCATCGGATACAGGCGTGGGAGTGGTGAGAGAATGGGGGTAGATGCTGCGAGTCTAATTTCCCTATAATGCTGAAGCCCATGGTCAACATCGTCGGAAACGACGGCCCAACTTGAAAATAGCAATTAATGCAAAATTTGCTGGATCCATAAAATTTAATGAGTGCTCTTCAGTTGCATCCACACGCCTGTCCCCGCAATTACTACGGAACTTACTACAAATGTGTACTAAGGATGTCCAATTTCTGTTTAATGGCCAGTTTTATCGACAAATTAACGGAGTCGCAAAGGGAAGCCCACTTGGACCAACCTTTGCAGACATATTTATGGGCCATCTGGAAGAAAACCTATTCGCAAAATTGAACCACACGACACTCTACGACGATATGTAGACGATGTTTTCACGATTGTGGAGAACCTGAAAGAATCTGACTGGACATCTGTCCAGACTAACAGATGGCTCAATTTCACGGAGGGTCTTCTACAAGAATACCTGGAAAGGTCGGTACTTACATTATCGAAGTTTTGTTCCCATTCAATTGAAACGTAACCGGGTATGTAACCTTTTCCAGAGGAATAGAAAAATCTGTTCTGAGGATATTTTGGACGCAGAATTAGGTTGTCTCAAAGCTACTTTACTGAAGCGTGGATATCCACCTCAGCTTATAGACAAATATAGTAAACCCTTGCGACCGAAATGAGTGAACTTTTAGCTCCAAATAGCCAGTATTTGTATTTTTGCCCTTTAAGGGTGATAATATATTAAACGCTATCAAGAGGCGCCTGCTCAAGGCCATAGAAAGAACCTATTACGCCGCTGAACTCATATTTTGCCCTCCAGCAAAGCCCCTGCCAATTCCCTGTGTGAACTCACATTCTGCTCTCCAACAAAGCCCTTGCCAATTCCTTGTGTAAAGTGATGCCTTACCTTTGCACGCCACCTCCAACTGCGTTTATGAATTCACATGCACTGGCGGATGCAAGTACATAGGGCTAACGCAAAGACGATTGGAAGCCAGAGCCAAGGAACACCTGCCTAGTTGGTTATTCAAGCAGGAAAACCGTTTCCCTCGCTCCTCTATTACTGAACGCTTGTTGGACACGGGTCATTCTGTAGACCCTATAACTTCATTCCGAGTTCTTTTTCGAGCACGAACATCTGGAATCTTTCGCTACCTGGAGACAGCCTGTATAAGACGCTTTAAACCGGACCTATGCAAACAGTTGGAGCATGTGGTAAACCTGGCCTTGCCTTGGTAACTACAGGCCGCCAGATTTGCGCATTCCCCTTCCCCCCTTTATTCTAGCAACCCAATGTCCCTGTTCCCCCCCACCTCGTTTAACATTCCTTCTTTACTAATTAGCCTTAATTAGCCTTAGTGATTATGACAAAGGACATTTCTATACAAACTCAATTTCGTAATTTTCTGGTTCATGAATCTTGCGCTACCTGGAGGCAGCTTATATAAGACGCTCTTAACCGGACCTATGCAAACAGTTGGAGCATGTAGTTAACCTAGCCTTGCCCTGGTAACTACAAGCCCTTTGATTTGCACATTCTCCTCCCCCCTTTTTTCCCGCAACCCATTTTCCCTGTTTCCCCTTCCAATTTGTTTTAACTTTCCTTCCTTAGTGACTATGACCTATGACCCTTCTGTACAATTTCAATTTTCGTAATTTTCTCATTCGTGACCCTTTAGCGCACTTAGTGGATGCAACTTAAGAGCACTAATGAAATTTTATGGATCCATTAAATTCTGCATTAATTAATATTTTCAAGTTCTGACCGAGAAAATTATGCTTCAAATTTCTGAGACGGCCCAACTGTCAGGCCATAATAGCCCGCTGAGGCAGATGGACAGTATCCCAATTATTCATGGCATCTTTCTAACTGACGCACTCCAAATTGGAGCATTCCATTCCAAGTGGTGGGGGGAGGGGGGCATAAAAGTGCATTGCAGCAATCAGGAGGTAGCACAACAGTGAGCTTACCAGATGAAAAGACTTCCATCGATCGGGTGGAACATAAAAACTGTGTCAGAGGCTCTGCGCCAGCTGTTCAAAATTTTCAAGAAGGCTTG